ATGACATATTCAGCAGGTGCCCTTTTATACTTCCGGGCACCCCGCCTATGACGTCATAGGCCAGGTGGACCAATAGATTGCCGTTGTTTCACACATGCTTCAGACACCGGTCATGCAGGCTGCATTCCCCAGTGTCTCGTTCCCTCTCGGGGAACCATGGTTACATGCTTAACCCGAGACATTTTCCACTTGTTTATTTATTATATAAAAATTTAGCATGCTGTTTCTTTAAACAATGGTATAAACATCATTCAATATAAATTGTGATAAATGTAATTAATAATCGCAATTATAATTTCAAGGGAATAATCGACAATTATGATTTTTGTCATAATCGTGCAGCCCTAATGCTAGCTGTACTGTAAATACAGCATCCTAAAAAGTTTTGAAATCATCATTGCATTAATTTTCATTCTTCATTAGCTTCTTGCCTAGTTCAGGTTGTCAGTGACAGGATTTGTTTTTTTACACAGCTTTAAAGTGTGAACTATAGCCAGAAATGAAGATCATATCATTATTTACTCACCCTCATGTCTTGGCAAACTTGTATGACGTTCTTTTTTCTGTGGAACATAAAAGAAGATATTATGAATAAGGTGCTTTTTGTCGATAGAATGGAAAATAATGGGGTCCAATGTTTTCCCCAGTGTTGTTCAAAATATCTTTTGTTCAGCAGAAGAAAGAAAGTCATACAGGTTGTGAGTACGTGAGGGTGAGTAAATAATGACAGGATTTTCATGTTTTGGTGCACTGTTACTTTAAACGGGTCATATGATGCTGCTAAAAAGAACATTATTTTGTGTATTTGGTGTAATGCAATGTGTTTATGCGGTTTAAGGTTCAAAACACACATTATTTTCCACATACTGTACATTATTGTTTCTCTTCTATGCCCCGCCTTTCTGAAACGCGTTGATTTTTACAAAGCTCATCCGTCTGAAAAGCGAGGTGTGCTCTGATTGGCCAGTTATCCAGTGTGTTGTGATTGGCTGAATACCTCAAGCGTGTGACGGAAATGTTAAGCCCCTCACCATACTGTGTTTCCATCATACAGTCTATGGTTTCCATGTGTCCCGGCGCGACGAGACAAAACCAATAAAACCCATTACAAACGAGGCATTTGTTGCATCCAGTGGGGACATAATTACTGATTGTAATGACTTATACTGTGCGCCGCGTAAACATAAAACCATGTCTGCATTTGTGATCGGAGAAATGACAAACAATAAGCGCTACTCTACACTGCTCAAACTCGCGTTTGATTTTTGTCCACACCACGCCTGTAAAGTGTTATGATTAATAAGCCGGCAGTACGGTGGCCGAGAAAGCAAATAGAAAACACAAGCAAATAGGAAAAAGCACCATCAAATTAAGAAAGCATCTTCATCAGTTTGACAGCACATGTGCTGCAAACACTTGCAACACAACCAAATACAAAAACACGCAGCAAAAACAGAAACGCACTACAAATACAACACAACCAAATTCGAAAACATGCTGCAAATACTCGCAACACAACCAAATGTAGAAATGCGCTGCAAAAACAAAAACGCGCTGCAAATACTCTCAACACAACCAAATACAGGAATGTGCTGCAAATACGCACAGACCACAACGGAACCCTTACGGAAATTAACCATGGTTTTACTATAAAAATAAAAATAAACGTTACTAGTTAAACCATGGTAACCACAAATTCATTTGTAGTAAAACTGTGGTTATACAAATGGTAGCAAATAGGCAAAAAAATAAATATTTCTTATAGTAAAACCATGGTTAATTTTTGTAAGGGAAGTTGTTAGCCAGCTTACATAACGTTTACATAATATTTTACATTTACAGTAATTGTGCATATTGTCAGCTTATTTAGACTAATAATATCCAAAAAAGCTAATGAATCATACGATCAGAATGTTAAAATAAGCAAAAATCTCAACTTTCAGAGTAGATATTGACAAGCATGTCCCAGGTTCGTCACTTGTTGCAGTTCCCTTAAACATTTCCGATGTGGTCTGTGCATATTTGCAGCATGTTTCTGTATTGGTTTGTGTTTTGAGTATTTGCAGCATGTTTCTGTATTTGAGCGTATTTGCAGCGCGTTTCTGTATTTGGTTGTGTTGAGAGTATATGCAGCGTATTTCTGCATTTGTTCGTGTAGAGCGTATTTGCAGCACGTCTCTGTATTTGGTTGTGTTGTGAGTATTTGCAGCGCGTTTTTGTATTTGGTTGTGTGGTGAGTATTTGCAGCGTGTTTCTGTATTTGGTTGTGTTGCGAGTATTTGCAGTGCGTTTTTGTATTTGGTTGTGAGTATTTGCAGCGTGTTTCCGTATTTAATTGTGTTGCGAGTATTTGCAGTGCGTTTCTGTATTTGGTTGTATTGTAGGTATTTGCAGCGCGTTTTTGTATTTGGTTGTGAGTATTTGCAGCGTGTTTCCGTATTTAATTGTGTTGCGAGTATTTGCAGTGCGTTTCTGTATTTGGTTGTATTGTAGGTATTTGCAGCGCGTTTTTGTATTTGGTTGTGAGTATTTGCAGCGCGTTTCTGTATTTGGTTGTGTTGCGAGTATTTGCAGTGCGTTTTTGTAGTGCGTTTCTGTATTTAATTGTGTTGCGAGTATTTGCAGTGCGTTTCTGTATTTGGTTGTATTGTAAGTATTTGCAGCGCGTTTTTGTATTTGGTTGTGTTGTGAGTATTTACAGCGCATTTCTGTATTTGGTTGTGTTGTGAGTATTTACAGCGCATTTCTGTATTTGGTTGTGTTGTGAGTATTTACAGCGCATTTCTGTATTTGGTTGTGTTGTGAGTATTTACAGCGCATTTCTGTATTTGGTTGTGTTGTGAGTATTTACAGCGCATTTCTGTATTTGGTTGTGTTGTGAGTATTTGCAGCGCGTTTCTGTATTTAATTGTGTTGTGAATATTTGCAGCACGTTTCTGTATTTGGTTGTATTGTAAGTATTTGCAGTGCGTTTTTGTATTTGGTTGTGAGTATTTGCAGCGCGTTTCTGTATTTGGTTGTGTTGCGAGTATTTGCAGTGCGTTTTTGTATTTGGTTGTGAGTATTTGCAGCGCGTTTCTGTATTTGGTTGTGTTGCGAGTATTTGCAGTGCGTTTTTGTATTTGGTTGTGAGTATTTGCAGCGCGTTTCTGTATTTGGTTGTGTTGCGAGTATTTGCAGTGCGTTTTTGTATTTGGTTGTGAGTATTTGCAGCGCGTTTCTGTATTTGGTTGTGTTGCGAGTATTTGCAGTGCGTTTTTGTATTTGGTTGTGAGTATTTGCAGCGCGTTTCTGTATTTGGTTGTGTTGCGAGTATTTGCAGTGCGTTTTTGTATTTGGTTGTGAGTATTTGCAGCGCGTTTCTGTATTTGGTTGTGTTGCGAGTATTTGCAGTGCGTTTTTGTATTTGGTTGTGAGTATTTGCAGCGCGTTTCTGTATTTGGTTGTGTTGCGAGTATTTGCAGTGCGTTTTTGTATTTGGTTGTGAGTATTTGCAGCGCGTTTCTGTATTTGGTTGTGTTGCGAGTATTTGCAGTGCGTTTTTGTAGTGCGTTTCTGTATTTAATTGTGTTGCGAGTATTTGCAGTGCGTTTCTGTATTTGGTTGTATTGTAAGTATTTGCAGCGCGTTTTTGTATTTGGTTGTGTTGTGAGTATTTTGAGTATTTGCAGCGCGTTATTTAATTGTGTTGCGAGTATTTGCAGTGCGTTTCTGTATTTGGTTGTGTTGAGAGTATTTGCAGTGCATTTTTGTATTTGGTTGTGAGTATTTGCAGCGCATTTCTGTATTTAATTGTGTTGTGAGTATTTGCAGCGCGTATCTATTTGGGTTTGTATTGTAAGTATTTGCAGCGCATTTTTGTATTTGGTTGTGTTGTAAGTATTTGCAGCGCGTTTTTGTATTTGGTTGTGTTGTGAGCATTTGCAGCACGTTTCTGTATTTAATTGTGTTGTGAGTATTTGCAGCGCATTTCTACGACAGTGGCTAGTGCAACTAATTCAAGGCATGTTAAGTTTACACCAATATTCAGTGTACTCACGTGTCTGTGAGGACAGCAGGGAACATGGCTTGGTGAGCCTCACTGAGTTGGCACAGGATAGCAGGATCCCATGCCAACCAATGCCCCACCTTGCCACTGCCACGACCCCCGGCTGCTTTGGTGCACTGGCCACAGCACAGGACCTCTGTCAGCATACAATACCAGCTGGATACATCACAAATGTGACAAACCTGCAATATCAAAAAACATTTATTAATATTTTATATGCTATTAAAAACAGCAGTGCATTGTTTGATTTAATCTGTAGATGTACTTGCATAAAAGCAAATCATTAAATTGTTGCGTTGCAAGGAACTGTACTATTAACGAATCTAATTAAAAATATATAATACCCTGGTGTGGTAGCCCGACTTGTATAGGTACACAGCCTTTCCTTGACCCACACATTCTGCACCCCGAGGACACTTCAGTAAGTATTTCCATACTCCAACAGGCTGCCACACAAAGACGCGACTTCGAAAAAAGAGATGCGGAGTTGGCAAGGGACCACTAATGTAGCCTGGAGGTTCTGGAGGGTAAAACCACATCCGGTCAGATTTTAGTGCTCGACTCCTCTTCAATACACCGGTGTTGTCACGATACGCCTGAATGGGGCCAAAGAGTCCTCGCTCTGGGTCGTCCTTCACCCAGGAGAGGTCAGCTGGTGGGATGCCGTTGGGATTTTCCCACAGTCGCACCCAACCCTCCAGCTCGACCTGAAACATGTCAAAACAGAAAACGTAATTACAAAATAATACACAAGCATAATTTAATTCCAATTATAATCATTTATGGTTAATACATTTGCGTATGTAAATATTACTCACTGGGGAGTCACATGGTTCTGCAGAGGAAATGTGACTTATGGATGTGGACGAGGACTTCTTTGATGCCTGTGTGTATGTGGCTGATGCTGCTGGCATGTAGATGGCCGTGGATGAAGATGTTGGCGTGTACATGGCCGTGGATGAGGATGCTGACGTGTAGATGGCCGTGGATGAGGATGCTGGCGTGTAGATGGCCGTGGATGAGGATGCTGGCGTGTAGATGGCCGTGGATGAGGATGCTGGCGTGTAGATGGCCGTGGATGAGGATGTTGGCGTGTAGATTGCCGTGGATGAAGACGCCGGCGTGTAGATGGCCGTGGATGAAGACGCCGGCGTGTAGATGGCCGTGGATGAGGATGCTGGCGTGTAGATGGCCGTGGATGAATACGCCGGCGTGTAGATTGCCGGTGGATGAGGATGCTGGCGTGTAGATGGCCGTGGATGAGGATGCTGGCGTGTAGATGGACGTGGATGAGGATGCCGGCGTGTAGATGGCCGTGGATGAGGATGCTGGCGTGTGGATGGCCGTGGATGAAGACACCGGTGTGTAGATTGCCGTGGATGAGGATGCCGGCATGTAGATGGCCGTGGATGAGGATGCTGGCGTGTAGATGGCCGTGGATGAGGATGCTGGCGTGTAGATGGCCGTGGATGAAGATGCTGGCGTGTAGATGGCCGTGGATAATGCTGTGGAAGCTGTGGACTCTGCTTTGATCACTTCTAATAAGAGAGTGTCATCCAGCCACGAGGGGTCACTGATGGAAGAGCTTGACATCTTTGTAACAAACATAAATCATAACATTCTGATTAACAATTTTGTTTTATCATGAAATAAGTAATATGCTGAAATGGTAATAACTTGTAAACATTCATTTAAAGTTGTGGTAAGACGGGTTGTGCATCACACAACTCACTTGATCTTTCTTGTCATAAATGTACTTCCTAAACCTTTTCATCTGCACGCTGGCGATATGGGTCAGAGGCGTGTGTAGCCACTGGCTTACAGAGCTGTACGCTTTTTGGATCATACTAAAATCCTCTGGCCTGTCCTTCTGGGCAGAATACTGGCTGTAGAGCTCCCACATCTCCTGAAAGGTATGGTACTTGAACCCGTTCTGTCCATAAATGCATTGGTGGACATTGGCCTCCAGGACAACTGAGACTTGTGGAAAGCAATCTGCGTACTCTGTCAGGTAGTCTTTTATCCAGTGATGTTGGATCTTCTCCTTCCCAGGTTTGTTAGAGATTTCTTCTCTGTGCTTGTCAACCAAACTGCAATTACATGCATCAATTGCAAAATTAAGATTGAAACTTTGCAAAGACAAAAAGTTAACAGGCTACACAGTGATAACAGCCATGGACTTACATAAATAAACAGAGAGAGAGAGAGATTATTTGCTATCAGCATCTTTTTAAGCATAAATAAAAACTTTGTAAGTTGAATATGCTTACTACTTCATGTAGCCCACATCGTTTGCCACAAGCCAGTGAAACGGGGCATTGAGATACTGGCCAAATGGCAGGACCAGCTTCCCCAGGCACTGCGGTCGTGATGGCGCAGGGATCCCTTCAGCATGAAGTGCCCTTTCAGCATGGTCTAGGGCAGTGGACTCATTCAGCAGCTGTGCAGGGGGGAGAGGAAAAGTCTTCTGTCTATCTCTGTAGGCACAGGCCTCATTCGTCGCCACCAATAGGGCCTGTTGACGATCCTCTGGAGCAGTGGGGTTTTGAAGACGGATAATGGGCGTCGCCATATCAAGGTGCACTGAAATAAAGATACCACCTTGAAGTTAACTGTATGAAGTGATTTTTAGCCATTGAAACACAATCAGCAGTGAAAGAGAACTAATTTAGCTATATGTGTGTGCTGTCTGAGAGACTGTTTCTGAGCGCTGTCAGAGAGGCGCACACACGTGAAGACAGTGCTCATAGAGCGCGGGAGTATTGGAATTTATATAAACGAATATTGAGTTATTTTTGCCGTTTTATAGGACTTGAACGGTTAAACACACTTTTATGTGTCAAAATGCCCATTTTTGCAAGTATCCTCTTAAACACAGTAATTTAGGTCTTAAATGAAAGCAAACAGCTGAGAAAGAAAACACATGTGTAACAGTATATTGGATCCGGGTAGCTCTTAAAGTGACAGCAGTCTAATATTCCTGCTGTCTGACGATCATGTTAATCAAACAACAAAAGAGAGAACACCTCTCACAGCTCTTGACTACATCACTTTTGTAACTTTAATAAGAAGAAATATATATTTCATTTACACAGTAAAGAATATTCAGCGTTTTTATACATTTGATTACTCTATACAATGTATGTAGCATAGCATTTCTTATTTGCTCTACTGTAGTTTTTTGTCCTGTTGCTTGTAATTAGTTTCTTATTCTTATTTAATCACTGACTGTTTACTTGTCTTCAGAAAATCATCATCCAGTCTGTCTGGAAGGACATGAAGAAACAGAACAAACCGAGACAGACTCAATCCAGAACAGAACTGTGGAGACTTCTCCAAGATGCTTCAAGAAACCTACCTGCAAAGCTCCCTGAAAAACTAAATGTTGATTTAATTTAGTTAATAGAAGTTAACTGATAAAGAAAATCTATTTAAGACATTATTTTTGACAGCATCCTCATTTTACAGCGTTTTTACACAAGTGCCTGAAACTTTTAACAGTTCTGTAGCTTTGCACGTAGGTTTCTTGAAGCATCAGTTCTTCTGGATTGAGTCTGTCTCAGTTTGCTCCATTTCTTCATGTCACTCCAGACAGACTGATGATGATTAGATCAGATCTCTGTGTGCAGCACTGGCTGCTGTCAGACAAACATATCACTGGATTATTACAATCAATGGCAAAATTAATGTTTGGAAATGTAAACTGATATTTCCTACCGACACACTACACTACAGCAAAAGATAGAAATAACTGACTTAAAGGCACAATACGTACGTTTTTTTATTAAAATATCCATCATTAGAACAGTTACATTTTGCTGACTTGTGTACTTACATTATCCCAAATATTTCGAAGAATGTTTAAATCCAGAGAAATAGCTATTTTAAATAGTTGCTCGTCCCTGGTTATTGCGTCGCCTGCCAATGACGTCATACACCCTCAATTTCTGGTTTTGTTTTGTAGAAAACATGGAAACACCAAAGACGCTTTAATATGTTGTACGGCTTTCAGCCTCACCCTGCTTCATACTACTACGTTAACAAATATTTAATACATTAGCTCATCCATAAACATGATTTCTACCAGAGTCCCATCGGATTGCATCGGCTGTGGGGATGAAGACTACAACTCCCATGATTCCACACTCAGTCACTGCGTCATCAAACTACACCTTTGTCTATTTGTTTGTTTTGAATACGCGCCCTCCAGCGGCGAAAATTACATATTGTGCCTTTAAACCTGTTTTTATACAGTCTATGCTTTAAACCCATTTTTTAGCTGATGAAAATATAGTGTTCTAATAATTTTGGCCACCACTGTATATATTTTGTTTTTGAATTCCGCTTTTTCAGTGCATTTTGCACGCGTGTCATTTTCTAATAGTATCGTTACAATACGTAAAAAACTAAACTTTTAACAGTTAACTGCCATTCTACTCATTTTTATTTCTACACTCCCACATCTGTCCACTAGCCGGCGAAAGCGTCCGTCAAAACTGCCGTTCAAACATGGCTGCGTCCATTGCGCGGTCATGCTGTCGAGTTCATTCACGAGTCATATTGAGAAAAACATCTTACCTAAAAACTTCCTTCCATTGTTCTCCATCTAGCAGAAGCGGGCTGCTCTTATCCCTGCATAACCGAGGCCTCCTGAAGGAGTCGTTCCCTGAGCACGCGGCGCAAGCGGAACTTCCGGATCTGCTCCAGTCCGCTCCGCAGACCGTCTACTGCGGCTTCGACCCGACCGCGGACAGCCTGCACGCCGGGAACCTGCTCGCCATCATCGGCCTGCTGCACTTCAGAGCCGCGGGGCACGACATCATCGCGCTGCTCGGCGGAGCCACGGCGCAGATCGGGGATCCGAGCGGGAGGTCTGCCGAGAGAGAGCGCCTCTCGCCGGCTGCGGTGGAGCAGAACTCCCGCGGGATTCTGGAGAGCCTCCACCGGATCTTCACCCACCACGAGCTGTACTTCTGCCCGGACTCGAGTAGGCTAGGCCGGCTCACGGTGCTCAATAACCGCAGCTGGTACAAGGACTGGAGCGTGCTGGAGTTCTTCTCGGAGGTCGGCAGGAGTTTTCGGATGGGAACGATGCTCAGCCGCCACAGCGTTCAGTCTCGGCTCAAGGGCGCGGAGGGCATGAGCTTCACCGAGTTCTCCTACCAGATCTTCCAGGCGTTTGATTTCTACCGTCTGCACCAGCTGCACGGCTGCAGGATCCAGCTGGGCGGAGCCGATCAGCTGGGGAACATCATGAGCGGACACGAGCTCGTACACAGGTTGCACCGTGGCGTTCTTGCATTATAAACACCTCTAGGGATCGATCCTGAAGTTGTATCGAAAGGATCGATCCTCACATAAAAATATCGATTCTAAGTTTCTAATCTAAAGTGCATTTTTAAGCATTAATTGTATTTATTTTGCAAGATATTCGGTGCATAAAATAAGCTTCTAAATGTGGAAAAAATAGACGGTGCTGGTGAATAATTGTGTAGGTTAGAACTATTTCTCCTGCTCATCGGAACACACGCAAACGCTGAAAGACAGAACCAATCGATCACAGAGCGTTCGCTGCTGGCGCTTCGCTCACAGTGCTTGTTCAAATAGGGCTCCCTTATTCCTCTGTTTAAAGGGGTTATATGATGCTGCTAAAAAGAACATTATTTTCTGTATTTGGTGTAATGAAATGTGCGGTTTAAGGTTAAAAAAACACATTATTTTCCACATACTGTACATTATTGTTTCTCCTCTATGCCCCGCCTTTCTGAAACGCGTCGATTTTTACAAAGCTCATCAGTCTGAAAAGCGAGGTGTGCTGTGATTGGCCAGCTATCCAGTGCGTTGTGATTGGCCGAATACCTCAAGCGTGAGACGTAAATGTTACGCCCCTCACATACTGTGATGATGCGTCAGGCCCAAGCAGCAACCTCCCGCTCTCTCTCGTGAAGCCAACACGGAAGTGACTGAAACTGCAATTCATCGACTGGCCGCTAGAGGCTGGCTGCAAAAGGGAGTCAATCCCATAGACTCTTTTGTT